TACGCTTCTTATTTTTTCATTCCGCAGCATGTTCCAGATAGAAGCTTTTAGAAGTTTCCTTTCTGTTGCTCGCTGATAAACTTTAATGGAATTTTCATTTTTTCCATAACAACCGAGGTCTGTAAGATGTATGCAGATGCTTGCAGTGCTACACGATTATCTCTAATGTAATAAGTTCCGTGCATAATGAAAATATGATTTTGAATTATTATTTTGTCAGGTATCATGATGGCAAACTTATCGAAAATACCGAAAGATTCAAAATGATGCATTGCGGTGGTGGTTCATACGCACTTATTATACTGCACACGCGGCCAGAAGATCACGGAGAGTACGTAGCCGTGGCTAGAAACAGTTCAGGAAGCATATCGACTTCGGCAGTACTTGAAGTCACAGGTGATCAGATAATCAGATTTTGCTACTAAACAGTTTTTATTTAATGTGATAATTACGAAATTAATTATTTTCAGCAAATCATTAAGTAATTAATTTGTTGTTTATTTAATTCAGGTCCACCATGAATGAGCAGCATTTTTTATCTGGGGTATTGGCAGCATGACGAAATGAAATCATCATACTACTTTTAAGCTTAAGCGCATATCCATATGTTGACTTCAGTTATTCCCGTCAGTTCGTAGTGGCAAAATCCTTTCCCTGGAGTGACTGGCTAAAATCACCATTTCTTCGTTAATGTCGTGAAAGTAGTTTACATACCAAAGCGATGTCAACGATATCCAAAACATATTTTGGGAATAAGTCAATTTTTCTTAACTAAGTTCGTTTACTACGTACGGCCGTTTTGAATGGCCATCGTCAGCATGTAGATGTTATCGATAAGTAATCATAGTGCACTTCAGAAATGTGTCTGCAGGCCATAGCGTCTCGATATCACGTCTGACTTTCCAGACCCTCCTGTTCCTCAAACGAGCGGACGAACGACACCGCTTAGTCTCCTGATGTGGTCTCAAAGCTAGCAGCTCTTTGGGCTTGTTAATATCACATTGTTTACGATACAATGCCTTGGTCTCCTACTACGGAACTCAGTTACGCATGTCACGTAAATTCATATCTTCGTACGTGCACCGGAGCAGAGTCGCATCCACAGGCTGTGAGAAATGCGAGAAGAAACTTGCCTGATTCGTTGGCGCACTTTAGGTCTCCTCCACTGAGGTTCACAGGCAGGAAATATACGTTAGAATAGTTATAATATTCAAAACATAAATGATTTGAGATGAAAAGAGACGGTTAGAAGATTAGAAAATAATATTTGATGAGCAATGCAGAATTGGTGCTGTAGAAGAAATACCGTTGTTGGTCCTGAGAGCTTCACTTATTCATTCATATTTTCCAGGCCTCTGGCCGTCTCATTCTTCGTGATTATCATTAAGAGACTGTTTGTCTATACGAACTGAATAAACTATCTCGTGATTACAGTTCCAACATTCGACAAACAAAGCATTGGCAAGCATTACGAAAGCTCCAAGTGGTTGCGGGAAGAAATTTCACGACGAAAGCTTAAATACACCGGGATCCCTACACCACCTGATCGAGGTCCGTTTGTCGCAGAAGTGACGAATCACTTTTTGACTCTGTCTTGGATCCCGACACGACGAGCGCCCCCGCGATACGCCCAAGTGACGTACATCGTTGAAATGCGAGAGCTACCGTACAAGGAATGGTACGTCGCCGACTCCAACATACCATCACCATGTTGCAAAGTCAGAAATTTGGAACACGGTAAGAGTTACCAGTTCCGAGTCCGCGCAGAAAATATCTACGGTATCAGCGAGCCTTCCCCACCTTCGCCTCCGTCGCAACTGATGGCCCCTCCAAGGCCAGCTGTTGGTAAGTTTTTGCACTTCCATAACTTTGGTTTTTCACCTATGAATTTAAGATAAAAACAAAAGGCCTGTGCCACTCCTTGACCCTTATGCAATCGAAGCACTAAACAGGGTCTATGCTGATCAATACGGTACTTTCGAATGCCAAATTATTCCATTTTCTATCGATTGTCTTATAGCATGCGCACCGTGGTTTCAACCAATGACCGAAAACAAGACCTTCTGTGCTGAACATGGCAGAGCTACTATTGTGTATTGCGTTTACGGCTATCCTGACCCTGACGTCACGTGGTATTTCCGCGGATGGAAGGTCGACACCTCGTCATCGAGTAGAAAATATGAGTAATTTCAGAAATTTCCCCATCAGTGTCATGAAATTGTCATGGTTTTGATATAGCTTTAAAATCTTCGGCGGAAATCAATACGTGTTTATGATTCACGACTTTGGAAAAGAAGATGTTGGCCAATACCAGTGCAAAGCAGTAAACGCCCATGGCGAGGCTCAAGAAAACTTCTTCGTCGAACTTGCTGGTACGAGAAATCGTTTTGGCACATTTTTTTGTATTTAAAGACTGCTCCTTCATTGTAGCTCGCCCACAGTTCGTTCAACCCTTGATGGATAAAACCGTTTCAGCGGGAACAACCGCCCGACTAGACTGCAGAGTATCCGGAGACCCATACCCAGAAATCAGGTGGTTCAAGGTACGTACGAAAATATGTCTGTCCTGGCCCTGTTTTCTAATTCTTCGTCTTCTTTTCCCGCCATTTTTTCTTTTTCTTCCATATTCTTGCATCGTGCCTCAAATCAGGGAATTATATGAGTTTGTTGAATCATCTAATTGTTGTCTTTTTCAATTAATGATTCATTACTTGAATTTTGTCAAAATGAAATCGAGCCTTCGTGGCAGTGGTGACCAGGCAGTCCATTTTCAAGTCGGTATTTGTCTGTAAAAGTTTGCGGCCTACCCCCTCCCCTAAACATCTTACGTTGAATAAAGCCAAATGCAGGGCGTCGAAGGTAGGCGAAACCTTTGCGTCAACGGCGAACTGCAATATAGGAACTTTCTTTAATGACATTCGACGTAATACTTCTCCAACTTGACTTGAATGTCATATGAAGTACAAGTACAAATATAACCTCTCTAAACATAACCTTTTGCTCAGGGGAGGGGACGGATACAGCCTACGAGGAAGATATTTTAATATGCGTTCTGCGTGGAAGCTACCCGAATGTGTGATGTCTGTTTCGATCAACATGTTGTCGTACATAAAATGGAGCTTCCAACCGAAGGTTCAGTTTTTTGACTAATTCCCCTCCAATATTACTTTCAGCGATTTTTATGGTCTCAAACACAATGGATTAAATAAATGATGGGTTTCTAACAAAGTTCCTTCTTTTTAAGGCTCTTTTATTGAAAGTAGGCCAAACATCAAAATAATATTCCTAGAACATCGGTCTTTTACAGCGCTTCGCAGGTTTCTGCCTATCATTTTGGTTTGCCTTAGGGTAGTAGGCTAATGGTCCTTCTTTCAAGCTGCCCAGCAGCACTCAAATAGCAAATGTTTTAGAATAATTCAAGTTAATTTAGTCAAGACGGAATTCGATTAGGCATGAAGGAAGTTCAAATTGAAATTACTTTATTCTGACGTTGCTTTTCAAAGAACAACCATGATGGCAATCAGGGTACCAGGGAATAAAATTTGCTATGATGATAAAAACGTGATCAGTTTTCTAAATCCTCAGCTTTGTGCTGAACTTCTTCAATCACCAGATTTAACTGTGCTTTGCGCCGCCGCCTTGTTCCTCCTTTCTGTTGGGAGGGTGATTCGAGCATCTGTACTCCTAAATATTTCTAACATTATTTTTGGCAGAAGCCTAGGCAGATCGGCGGCTTCTAACTTAATGCTGGTGACGAACAAGGCAAAATAATGCGAGATGCATTTAGCATTGCAGATGCTCGAATGTTGTGAAGCCATGGTCTATAAATAGCCTACAGTCATGCGCGACTAGGATATCCGGTGTTTAGAGGAGTAACATACGATGTAACATACTTTGGTGTATGAACCCATATTTATGGCTGATTCGCAAAATGTTAACTTATGAATAGTTTTTCGATCTGTCCTTTTTCTTGTCAATAACAATTTATTTAAAAGATATAATTTTCTTATCATACTCCTGTAAGTCCATTAGCACTGAAATGACACCAGTTTATCGTCAAGATCGACCCTTTCATAATCACGAAGGATCCAAAAATTCGCTTAGGCCAGTGCAACAGATTCTGTATCACAGTCTCCAGATTTAGCCGAAAGTCATGTGGCTTATTTTACATAACCGACGTCTAGCGTCATATGGTTCCACAGAACATTTGGTCCGCAGTCACCATTGATGCTTTTTTGGTCCATGACTTTGTTGGGTTGAGTTCTAGCCCAACTTGTACCGCTGTGAAGCACTTTTCAAATGAGTCCAGTAAGGTCTTCTGTGTATTCAGTTAGAGAAACTGTGTTTTAAAGTCAAATTCAAGTACTACCGGTTCAGATTTGTCAAGAAGTGACGTAGTGTAGTAGGCTTTAAACGATTTACATTCACACTGCTGTGCTGATGGAAGCTAAGTAAAGTGACTCTTTGGCTAAAAAGTGAAGCCTGTCCATTTCAAATCGAAAGCATTACACTAATTGTGCTGAAATTCTGAACTCTGTCTAAGGTTTGGATGATATACCGAACTGACCTTAGTGATGGTGCAATAGTTTGTTGTGTAGCTCAGTCGATCGAGGGACCTTCTCTTTAGTCGCTCAAAAATTGATTTCCATTTGACGATGTAGATGCATAAGTACAGTGCGCACTACAACATTCACTTCACAAACATAAATTGTTCCACCTCACAAACGAGGAATACAGCCATTCGTTACTTGGCCTGAAATGATGGCCAATCGGAATCCGCGTTCTGCGGAATTTCAGGAATTCTCAATCATGCACTGACTATACAATGGTCAAATTGCAGGCTTATTCTGCTAACGTCGTCTCACTAAGCAATCGGTTTCTTCCACTCTTTTACAGTAATAGTTTCGAATTTTCCAATTTTCAGGAATAATATATTATTTTGATAAAAGTTATTGTAAGTTCTCTTAACTAATATGATAATTATTATAAAAATTAAGAATGAATCAGATAGAAATTTTTTGCTATTTTCCTTGCTATTTTATATATGATATTCAAGGTTATTAAATGGGTGAAGAAGCCGATTGATTA